TGAGTTCAAGCAATTCTCGTGCTCCAGCCTCCCAAGTAGCCTGGGATTACAGGCACCCACATGATGCCCGGCTTTTTTTTTTTTTTTTTTTTTTTTTTTTTTTTTTTTTTTGTATAGTAGAGATGAGGTTTCACCATGTTGGTCAGGCCGATCTCTGAACTCCTGACCGCAGGTGAACCTTAAGTGATCCACCCACCTCCACCTCCCAAAGTTTTGGGATTACAGGTGTAAACCACTGTGCCTGGCCAATTTCCGTGCGTTTGTATAGTTTTCAGTTTCTCTTGTTGATTTTTAGTTTTCCATTGTGGTCTGAGATGAAACTGGATATGATTTTAATTTTAAAACATTTTTTGAGCTTTGTTTTGTGGCTTAAGATATGGTCTATTCCTAGAGAATGTTCCATATGCTCATGAGAAGTATGTGTATTCTGTTGCTGTTGGGTAAAGTATTCTGTAAATATCTGTTAGGTTAATTTGGTTTTTAAGTGCAGTGTAAAATCAGTTTTTTTAAAAATTAATTTTCTCTCTAGATGATCTGTCTAGTGGTGAGAGTTGGGTGGAGTGTGTTTCTCCCTTTAGATCTAATAATATTTGATTTATGTATCTGGGTGCTCTGTTGTTGGATCCATGTGTATGTTTAGAATTGTTATATTATCTTGCTGAATTGATCTCTTTATTATTATATAATGACCTTCTTTGTCACTTTTTGCTCTTTTTGACTTAAAATCTGTCTTACCTGATACAGGTATAGCTATACTTGCTTGCTTTTGGTTTCCTTTTGTATGGAACATCTTTTGGCAGCATGTAATTGGGTCATTAAAAAAAATCCTTTCAACCAGTCTATATCTTTCAAGTGGAAAGTTTAACTGGTTTACATTCAAGGCTGTTATTGATACATGCATGAGGGTTAATTTCTGTCATTGTGTTAATTGATTCTGGTTGTTTTGTGTATCTTTTATTTCTTACTTTCTCTCTTATTCATTGTGGTTTCGTGGTTTTCTGTAGTGGTAACACTTGAATTCTTTCTCTCCTTTATTTGTGTGTTTGTTTTACCAGTGGAGTTTATATGTGTTTTGTAATGGTAGATATTGTTCTTTCACTTCCAAGTATACAACTCTCTTAGTAGAGACGAGGTTTCACCATGTTGGCCAGGCTAGTCTTGAACTCCTGACCTTAGGTGATTCCCCCCACCATGGCCTCCCAAAGTGCTGAGATTACAGGCATAAGCCACTGTGCCCAGCCAGATGATCTATTTAAAGTGTGATTATCAGCTCATTATTTTGGTGTTTTTTTTGTTGAAGGGAGTACCACATACCTTGTCAGTCATCTTGAAGCGCCTCCTTCCTGACTACATTTATTGAAAAAATAAATCCACTTATTAGTGGACCTACCTGTGCAGTTCAAACTTGTGTTGTTTAAGGGTCAACTATAGTTGAACTTGGTAAGAATCTTTAAAAATCTAAATAGGAAAACTTGATTTTTGCCTTGTATCACTGACCAAGAGTATTTGTGAATTGTCCTTCTTCATTACAGATTTGTCCTTTTGTTCCTTTGTTTTGTAACACCTGTTTTTCCTTACAGGATGATAAAGTCAAATCCCTCCTCTGTAGCTTGATATATTATAGAAGTTCAATGACTGCTGAACAAGTTTTAAATGCTGAATGTTTCTTGATACCAAAGGAGAAATCAGTTCCAAACCCAGAAAAAGATACTGAATACACCCCATATAAAAAGGAAGAAGAAATAAAGCTGGAGAACTTGGATAAATGTATGGAGAAGACAAGAAATGGTGAAGCCAACTTTGATTGTTAAATTATTATTCTGTCATTGTTGCAGATGTTCTTTTTAAAAATTTGTTTAGTTTGGTTAATACACAGAAATATCTAGAAATGTTCTGGGACTAGTTGGGTTGTATCTTTAGTATTCAGGTTGTGAAAAATAAAGATGTTTGGCTATGCACGAAATAGTTTTTATGCTTTGAACTGTAGTTGGAGTTTGATATGGTTTGGCTGTGTCCCCACCAAAATTTCATTTTGAATTGTAGTTCCCATAATCCCCACGTGTTGTGAGAGGGACCTGGTGGGAGGTAATTGAATCATGGGGGCAGGTTTTTCCCATACTATTCTCATGGTAGTGAGCAAGTCTCATGAGATCTGATGGTTTTATAAAGGGGAGTTGCCCTACACAACCTTTTTGCCTGCTACCGTGTAAGACATGCCATTACTCTTCCTTCACCTTCCGCCACATTTGTGAGGCCTCCCCAGCCATGTGAGCAATGTGAGTCCATTAAACCTTTTCCCTTTATAAATTATCCAGTCTCACGTATGTCTATTAGCAGCATGAGAACAGACTAATAAAGTAAGTTGGTGTCATGAGTGGGGTGCTGCTGTAAAGATACCAAAAAATGTGGAAGCGACTTTGGAACTGGGTAACAGGCAGAGGTTGGAACAGTTTGGAGGGCTCAGAAGAGGATAGGAAGATGTGGGAAAGTTTGGAACGTCCTAGAGACTTGTTGAATGGCTTTGACCAAAATGCTGACAGTGATATGGACAATGAAGTCCAGGTTGACGTGGTCTCAGATGCAGATAAGGAACTTTTTGGGAACTGGAATAAAGGTGACTCTTGTGATGTTTTAGCAAAGAGACTGGGAGCATTTTTCCCTTAGAGATTTGTGCAATTTTGAACTTGAGAGAGATGATTTAGGGCATCTGGTGGAAGAAATTTCTAAGTAGCAAAGCATTCAAGATGTGACCCGGGTGTTGTTAAAAGCATTCAGTCTTATGTATTCACAAAGATATGGTTTGGAATTGGAACTTATATTTAAGAGCAGAGCATAAAAGTTCAGAAAATTTGCAGCCTGATGATGCTATAGAAAAGAATAACCTATTTTCTGAGGAGAAATTCAAGCCAGCTGTAGAAATTTGCATAAGTAATGAGGGGCCAAATGTTAATCACTAAGTGAATGGGGAAAATGTCTCCAGGGCATATCAGAGACCTTTGTGGCAGGCTCTCCTATCACAGGCCCAGAGGCCTAGGGGGAAAAAATGGTTTCATGGGCTGGGCCCAGGGTCCCCATGCTGTATGCAGCTTAGAGACTTGGTGCACTGCATCCCAACTGCTCCAGCTGTGACTAAAAGGGTCCACGGTACAGTTCGGCCCATGGCTTCAGAGGGTGCAAGCTCCAGGCCTTAGCAACTTCCAACTTCCACATGGCATTGAGCCTGCAGGTGCACAGAAGTCAAGAATGGAGGTTTGGGAACCTCCACCTACATTTCAGGGGATCTTTGGAACCACCTGGATGTGCAGGCAGAAGTTTTCTGCAGAGGTGGGACCTTCATGGAGAACCCCTCCTAGGGCAGTGTGGAAGGAAAATGTGGAGTTGAAGCACCCACACAGAGTTCATACTGGGGCACTGCCTAGTGGAA